TTTAAATTTATCGATGTTGACACCACCCTTTAATGACGATTGTACGATAAAGCCTATACCAACCATCCCTAACTTAACAGTTTTGTACGTTTGTCATCATACACAGTATTTCTCGAATTGTACATGTGAAACGCAAGCTCAACTGACAAAGATCATTTCTAGTCAATTGGCGTCTTGGACACTACGGTAGTAAGGTTATTACAATTTACGTAAGAATTTATTACATTTTACCGCAAGAAGAGATTATTACAATTTACGTCAATTTTTATTACAATTTGCGTATTATAATTTACGTCAAATATTATTACAATTTACGTTGTTATTACAATTTACGTCAAAATTATTACAATTTGCTGCAAGTATTACAATTTACCTTTTTATTACAATTTACGTCGTAACAACAAGGATACACAGTACCAGCATCATGCATTGGGGGAGCATCCCTAGGGCCCGGGGGAAGACGATTGGGTGATTGTTACATATAAAACTATTTCCACTGTCGAGAGAGTGAGTGAGTAAGTATGGTTTTACGCCGCTTTTAGCAATATTCAAGCAATATCACGGCTTCACACAATGTACCCATGTCGGGAATCGAACCCGGGTCTTCGGCGTGACGAGCGAAAGCTTTAACCACTAGGCTACACTGTCGAGAGAAACGCTTTAACGACAAGGTAATAAGTGAGTGAGTTTGATGAAACCCTGATATCTGCTTGATGTGGGAGAACAGTCCAAGCAAGAAATATTATTGGGGCGAACCGGCGATCGCACCAACGGCCACAGACTTCTGGCAAACCTGTTAATCAGCTTGATCGACGCTAACTGCCAGCACTGGGTTAAATCGGGACTATTCTCAATGTCTAGCAGCAATGTCTAGTCTTGGTCTGGTCTGCCTACTTAGCGGTAAATGTTACACTGAAACTGTTTGCTTGTGTTATTAAGGTAATCGCGAACTGGCCAGATAGGTGCTTAGTAATAAGGCCATAGGCTAAAGTGAGTGAGTGAGTATGGTTTTACGCCGCTTTTAGCAATATTCCAGCAATATCACGGCGGGGGACACCAGAAATGGGCTTCACACATTGTACCCATGTCGGGAATCGAACCCAGGTCTTCGGCGTGACGAGCGAACGCTTTAACCACTAGGCTACCCGACCGCCCCCATAGGCTAATGTAGATAATACTCATATATACCATGAATATATATTTAGAGCTTGATTATCTGTAGAATTAACCGCGCTAAATTTAACATTTGAAATTTAGCGCGGTTAAATCAAAAGGTAACCTAGCTCTACATTGAAAACAACAGTATATTTATCTCATAAATGACAAGCTATGTTGCCGTAACAGGTGACTATGCTTGCCGTAACAGGTGACCAACGGGATCGGGTGGTCAGGCTCACTGACTTGGTTGATGCATGTCATCGTATGCCAATTGCGTGGATCGATGCTCATGATATCAATCACTGGATTGTCTGGTCCAGTCTCGATTATTTACAGACCGCCGTCATATAGCCGGAATATTGCTGAGTGCGGTTTTTACAAAAAAATAAAAATCCCACTTGAATAAACACAACCCTCATATGAGCTTGTCCTTCGAGGACATTTATTTGAAAATATATCTCTTGAGTTATACACATGAATGAAATAAACAAGCAAAGTGAAAATGGGGCACTACCCTCCTCAATACAACACCTCTGAGGACTGAGTGAGTGAGTGAGTCTGGTTTAACGCCGCTTCGATAAGTTTTTTAGTTGTATCACGTCGCGTTAGCCGAAAATGGGAGGAAACACCGAAGTGATGTATGTCTCAGACTTTTACCACAAAGGGGTATGGCCGACAACCATAGATACAACGAGGGTTAATATGGGATTCAAACCCGGAAACAAATGATTCTGTTATACGACAACTCTGCACAGAATGTCGGCGCCGTAGACGACTCGGCCACCGTGACATTAATAAAATACAGACACTGGTTGGAATGACGTCTATCTCAATCTAAGTCCGTGAATTGTTGGCGGAACAACTGTCGTAAATAAGATAAATGAAATTTCATTCGGTTGAACAGAGTGAATTAGACTGAAATTGATTTCTCTTGAAGGTAAAGCCAGATATAAAGGGAGGTTATTCCCGGTAGAGGGCGCAACCGTGAGGGGTATATATAGGAATTGTAAAGCCCGGGTAGTTCAATTTCTCCTGTGGTGTCGCCGTTACAGTGCGGTCTGTTTATTTTATGTTTGTCCTGTGCGTTATGGTTATGAACATTTTCTGTTGTCAGGTGTTGGGAGTCTTGCTGCAAGACAGATGTCGTCACAGTGACGAGTATGGTTCTGAACCACAAAGCATGGATGGTACCTGGTACATGCATGTATCTTACAGTAAGATGTTACAGTGTGGGTGACTGGCGTGGTTCTGAGATCATATGGATCAAGGCTAGTGACGCCACTGGTGTTTGTAAAAGGAAATTTCATGCAGAGTAAATGCCTCGGCGTGTGCCACAGGGGAAGCCACATTGTGTGTTTGTTGTTAATATCTGGCTTGACGAGGTTTTGGAAGAGAACGTATTTTATTGATAACTTCTGGGTTTTTACATAGCTACGTTTCGTTGTGGACTCTTACACCGTTATCAAGCTGGAGTGAAGAATTGACATCGACACATCACAATATGCAATAAACCGGAAGTTGTTTTCCATAACCGTTTACTTTTTCTTACTTACTCACCAACTTCTAGCATGCACACCAAACAAATGTCATGAAGCAGGATACTAAATATATCTCACCCTCAACAATCTCCCACTCCAGAAAGGATTGGGCAAAGTAAGAAACATCTGCATAGTTTATCTAAGCAATTTATAATTAACCGTAATACGTTTTCTATCCCTCAATTGGTTGACTATGGGCTTGATAACATTTTAATTGGTATAACAAAACAAACAAATAACAAATAAACACTTGCTTTTCGGAACAACATTATTGATTGATTGAGTATGATTTTAGGCCGCTTTTAGCACTAGCAATATTACGGCGGGGACACCAGAAATGGTCTTCACACATTGTACCCCTGTCAGGAATCAGACCCGGGCCTTCGGCGTGACGAGCGAACACTTTAACAACTTGGCTACCCAACCGCTCCAAAAATAACGTTAACAAATGTGAAAAAACAAACGATATCAAAAGCCACATTTTTAGCTATTACATAAATAATCTAAACGTTAATCGAACCCGGGTCTTCGGCGTGACGAGCGAACACTTTAACCACTGTGCTACCCAACCGCCCCAAAAATAACGTTAACAAATGTGAAAAAACAAACGATATCAAAAGCCACATTTTTAGCTATTACATAAATAATCTAAACGTTAATCGAACCCGGGTCTTCGGCGTGACGAGCGAACACTTTAACCACTTTGCTACCCAACCGCCCCAAAAATAACGTTAACAAATGTGAAAAAACAAACGATATCAAAAGCCACTTTTAGCTATTACATAAAAAATCTAAACGTTAATCTGTGAATTGCAATGTTGCCTGCTTCGTGTATGTCCTCCATCACAACCTGTGTTATGTATCTCCCCAACAACTTCCTTGTGTGTGATGTAGGAGTTCTATAGTGGCAAGAATGCATATATGTGACCACCGGCTCAGCTTTATAAAGGCTTCCAATATCCAATATGAAATGTTACATCTCGTTGTCAGGTTAGTGAGAAACAAGAAAAAAGGCCATTCGTCACCACTCGCCCCTTTACGTAACCTGCAAGAAGACTCGTCCCCCTATCGATGAATGTTATGTGCGAAAATACGACAAACCAATCAGAGTGCGCGCATGATTTCAAGTTCTTCATCAGAGAATCCCTCAGAAATAAGTTTTGAAATACGTCTTGCATCTAAAAAAACACCCAAGACACAGTTACATGTGTTCAATCATACTGTATAATTCCGCATGTCCCGATGTGCTTTAAATTGCATCTGAAATATAATATATATGAGGAAATATATGTTAACCATTAGGCAACGAGTTGCCAATTGTTTTAGGTATGCCCGTTTGCGCTAAGACGGAACCCGATCACAAAAATGGCCATGAGAGGGGCACTAGTCGCTATTCGGCTTGTCCCGGACTAACACGAGTTGGTCACGAATGGAAAAAAAGGCTACAACAAATTAATTAATCAAGATAGCCGCTTCCTTTAAACTACAATAAATCAACAAACATACAGCTACTCCCAAAGAAACTGCTAATGATTGAACCTCGATTATGTGTATTTTGAAAGAGCATTGCCTACAATATGGTGGTACATTAAAGATTGCCTACATCCGCAGTATGAGAAATTGAATGTTGAAAATGACACTGAGTGCACACTGATCCATTGAACACTTTAATAATAATGTAGCTTTTCGGGGATGCTAATTTGTTATGTGCAAATATAGCGCAATAAAAATGGCATTATATTTCTTGTTTTTTTTAATCAGTGATGACATGTTTTGACATGAACATGTTGTTAGTTATAAAATATGAAACCTTCCATCTCAATTTTCTTTTTGTGACAAAGCAAACTTTTGTTTGTCTGTCTGTCTGTTTGTTTGTTTGTTGTTTAACGCCGCACTCGGCAATATTCCAGCTATATATATATATAATCGAGTCTGGACCAGACACTCTAGAGATTGATATCATGAGCATAGATCTCAGTAATTGGGATACGATGACATGCATCAACCAAGTCAGCAAGCCTGACCACCCGATCCCGTTTCTCGCCTCTTACGACAAGCATAGTCGCCTCTTACGGCAAGTATGGGTTGCTGAAGACCTATTCCACCCCGGATCTCTTAAAGCATAACTTGTGACCTTTAGAAGCATATTAGAAATAATATCAATAATGACAAAGATATGACTATATAATTAATGTACAAACAAATGGTTAATACACAGACAATATGGATAACTTTCATCCAAGTCTTTGTGACGTTGTGAGTAGTAAAGACGAATGATTATATCAAGATCGCAAGAACCCAGTATACCGACAATACAGTTGTTTTATTGAAAGACATAATCTCCTCTCTGAAATTACTATGTACATGATACACACACTGACAATATAGGAAGCCGGTCATTTACGTCTATTCACAAACAGTCGCACACATACATATATTTAATAATTTATGTACATTATGTAATGTAATGTCTCTTTGGGTGAACAATACATTTAAAATGCAAACATGTTCATCCAGTTCAGTTTCTATAATAGTGAATAATTATAATTAATTTGACACTTATAAAAAGGTAATATTTACTTAGCTTACAAAGAAACAGTTCAGCGTTTTTCAATTAAGTTTTCAATTTATTGATTTGTTTGTTTTTAAACGCACACTCGGTGGTGAATATTTCAAAGGTTATGTTAATGGTAGGACTGTTATATTGTATGTGAAGGTGTAAGTATGTAGGTAAACCAGTCGTAACGCTGACATCACTTTGTGAAACATTTCCCATTTCAAAACCATAAATATACCCAAATAATCAAAACAGTTATGTCATAAATATAAACCTATTTCAATAGATGAACAAATCGCGGAAGTGGGTATGTGAAGGTGTGTATGGCTGTGAATATTATGCATGGGAGCTGTTTTCGAATTCATTCACCGCAATCTGATGCTCTGCGTTGACCAAGTTTTGATAATGGGGGTTTTCACTGTCGCTACCATCTTGGTCCAGATGGCCGAAGAGATTGGCGTCGTGGTGGGTCGTAGTGGTCGAAAGCTTCGCTGAAATTGACAATATAACATCAGTCGGCTTGTCAAGATTGAAAGAAATATGAAGGACACTCCACGTACAAGAAACGGAAAGTCCTATCTGCTTAATAAAATGTTCATAAATTCACAGAGTTTGTATTGTGTTTGTGACTGTAACATATAACACACATCGCAATTACTGATAAATTTAATTTAATGCTTTCAATTAGTCTTTGGAGAATCACCGAGCATCCGTCAATATCTACATGTACTTTACGTATCAATGGCTACACTATTTCCTAAATATTTATATATATTTATATATGTACATTTATTTAAACTTTATACAAAGTTTAAAAGTATTTAATATAAAAGTTTAAAAGATATATAAAGGTTAAATTTATGTACAGATATAAATGTCTAAAAAGTTCTACAAATGTTAATTGTACATACATACATAAAAGTTAGCCATGTCAAATTTGATAAGACAAAAACAAACTAACTACTAACTGAGACTAGTTAAGGAAACAATAACTGAAAGCAAATTACAAATGATAAAATACCTTCTAGCTATTATGAGCACATAAAACAAACATAATGGTGTTATAATTAAGCGTATTATCAACATCAGTGGTGCTGTTGTAAATGTGTTAATTAGACCCATAAAATGCAAAGCTAAACCCTGCAACACAAAGCTTAAAAGTGTGTAATTTAAAAATAAATAAACCGAACATGCATGCTTTGTGACAGACAGAATAACAGTACAGGGAAATATCAGATTAACGCAAATTAAGCTTTTAGCAATATTCCAGCAATATCCCTTCGGGGAACACCAGAAATGGGCTTCACACATTGTACTCATGTCGGGAATTGAACCCGGGTCTTCGGCGTGACGAGCGAACGCTTTAGCCACTAGGCTACCCGACCGCACCTGACACAATGGAGTGAGGAGTGTTCTTTGTCGTTTTGAGAAAGAAATCCACCATTATAGGGGACAACTTCACAAAGAATAAGCTTCGCACATTGTGTCCAAGTGGTGCTTCGCAAACGGGGCGTCGAACGCGGTTTTGCGACGTGATGATCGAACGTTGTAGTGTTACCCAACGCCCAAGCACAACCAAGACTTAATCAAAGTCTTACAAATATGTTGAACAAATAAAGACTAAAGTTTTGTGATGAAAACTAAGCACACAATTTCATACAAATATCCAAACAAAATATTCATGATCCCTAACTCTTCTTTTCAGTATATATAACGTATGATATAATTTTCTTCCGATTTCACACATTTAAATAATATTCACATGACAAAAATTATTCGGATACGATTTGATTACATTTAAATCCAAACGTTTTATAAAGTTTTTCTTCAATCACTAGATATATGAATTGTTTGATAAGTATTACTTAGAAGATGACAGATGACAAAGCAGACACAACTTATAGATAACAACATCTTTAATTAATGTTAAGACGACATTTCGGTATAGAGGTTCCTTCACCTACTTAATACATAGCGTATCTCACCCTCGTGTCTTTTGATATCAAATATATCAACACGAGTTGATAAAAGTGGAAAAACTCTGAGGCTTACCGAGGAGTTTTTCCACTTTTATCAACGAGTGTTGATATATTTGATATCAAAAGACACGAGGGTGAGATTTTATTTATCATCCAACATCATTCTTCCAACTTTTTCAGTTTGTAAACAGTAATACGCAGTGTCTTAAGTGTAGCAGAGCCATTAGTGATGTCATTTGATTGTGACGTCACGTAATCAATGACGTCACAATGGTCTGCAAAGCATTGTGATGCGATTTCTTTGCAGCGATATCTACAATGTAGATATCGCTTGATCTTCCCCAAGTTTGTTTGTTTGTTGTTTAACGCCGCACTCAACAATATTCCAGCTATATGACGGCGGTCTGTAATATAATCGAGTCTGGACCAGACAATCCAGTGATCGACATCATGAGCATCGATCCACGCAATTGGGATCGATGACATGTATCAACCAAGTCAGCGAGCCTGACCACCCGATCCCGTTAGTCGTCTTTTACGACAAGCATAGTCGCCTTTTACGGCAAGCATGGGTTGCTGAAGACCGGTTCTAGCCCGGATCTTCACGGGTCAAACGATATCTCCTGTGGGAGCCAGTTAGGGATGATTAATGTATATTCTGTACCATGTTCATCATTCAGTCTTGATTGACAACGGCATAAGGATCTATACCGAAACGTCACCTTTACAGTAAAATTAAAGAAGTTGTTTTCAATAAATTGTGACTACTTTGTCACTAAATATTTCTCAAGCCAAACGGTGACAAGAACAGCTATTTACAGAAAACAAGGATATTAAGAAAATGTCATATTTATATTTGTACAAACGGCAAAAGCTACACGGACGAAATGCTACATTACGATATCAAGCGCAACCGACTGAAACGTGAAAGTGAATCGTGAACAGAACCCAACAATGCGCTATCAGTCATTATATGAGCGCTTCACTCACTTCTGTGCAACGTAAAACAAGAACGATCATGCACAAAATTGTCACCTTCAGTCGTTCCCTCGACAAATACAAGAGGCTTATTGCATTGAGAATGTAAGATAGTATCATCAGCCGAAAGACGACCTAGAATAAGAGAACACGCCCTAAAATCCCCCGCTTGTCAGATTTTGGACATCGCAACATTCACGAAATTCGGTTATTTCACGTAGTGTGTGTGATTCATGAAAGAGAGTGTATGTTGTCTTACGACGCTTTGAATTATATTTCGTGGCGTATATAAAACAAAAACACTGTAAATATCACTGTAAAACATAAAGATTGGGCCACGCAAACCAGAGAATAATGTACAATAATTATTTGTGAACAGACAGACATTGGTAACCTAGATTAGTGGTACCATTTTGTTACTAGTGTGTTACCAGTATGTTACCAGTATATCAGACACGCTGTATCAACATTGAACTTTATTAGTAAAACATTGAAAAGCGCAACACTTGTTCACAGAACTGGAACCAATAATACACACAATTACAAAACCCAAACAAAGATCGGTATAATATACGACGAACGATGTATGCCTCATGATACTATTCCCTTGATCTCAGTACACGTGTGAACGATGTATGCCTTATGATACATATTCCCTTGATCTCAGTACACGAGTGAACGATGTATGCCTTATGATACATATTCCCTTGATCTTAGTACACGTGTGAACGATGTATGCCTTATGATATGTATTCCCTTGATCTTAGTACACGAGTGAACGATGTATGCCTTATGATACATATTACCTTGATCTCAGTACACGAGTGAACGATGTATGCCTTATGATATATATTCCCTTGATCTCAGTACACGTGTGAACGATGTATGCCTTATGATACATATTCCCTTGATCTTAGTACACGTGTGAACGATGTATGCCTTATGATATATATTCCCTTGATCTTAGTACACGAGTGAACGATGTATGCCTTATGATACATATTCCCTTGATCTTTGTACACGTGTGAACGATGTATGCCTTATGATACATATTCCCTTGATCTTAGTACACGTGTGAACGATGTATGCCTTATGATATATATTCCCTTGATCTTAGTACACGAGTGAACGATGTATGCCTTATGATACATATTCCCTTGATCTCAGTACACGAGTGAACGATGTATGCCTTATGATATATATTCCCTTGATCTTAGTACACGTGTGAACGATGTATGACTTATGATACATATTCCTTTGATCTCAGTACACGAGTGAACGATGTATGCCTTATGATATATATTCCATTGATCTCAGTACACGTGTGAACGATGTATGCCTTATGATACATATTCCCTTGATCTCAGTACACGAGTGAACGATGTATGCCTTATGATATATATTCCCTTGATCTCAGTACACGAGTGAACGATGTGTGCCTTATGATACATATTCCCTTGATCTTAGTACACGTGTGAACGATGTATACCTTATGATATATATTCCCTTGATCTTAGTACACGAGTGAACGATGTATGCCTTATGATATATATTCCCTTGATCTTAGTACACGTGTGAACGATGTATGCCTTATGATATATATTCCCTTGATCTCAGTACACGAGTGAACGATGTATGCCTTATGATACATATTCCCTTGATCTTAGTACACGTGTGAACGATGTATGCCTTATGATATATATTCCCTTGATCTTAGTACACGTGTGAACGATGTATGCCTTATGATACATATTCCCTTGATCTCAGTACACGAGTGAACGATGTATGCCTTATGATATATATTCCCTTGATCTCAGTACACGAGTGAACGATGTATGCCTTATGATACATATTCCCTTGATCTCAGTACACGAGTGAACGATGTATGCCTTATGATACATATTCCCTTGATCTCAGTACACGAGTGAACGATGTATGCCTTATGATATATATTCCCTTGATCTTAGTACACGAGTGAACGATGTATGCCTTATGATATATATTCCCTTGATCTTAGTACACGAGTGAACGATGTATGCCTTATGATACATATTCCCTTGATCTCAGTACACGAGTGAACGATGTATGCCTTATGATATATATTCCCTTGATCTTAGTACACGAGTGAACGATGTATGCCTTATGATACATATTCCCTTGATCTCAGTACACGAGTGAACGATGTATGCCTTATGATATATATTCCCTTGATCTTAGTACACGTGTGAACGATGTATGCCTTATGATACATATTCCCTTGATCTCAGTACACGAGTGAACGATGTATGCCTTATGATATATATTCCCTTGATCTCAGTACACGTGTGTCAAGCGACTATCCTCTTGAACACCAGTATGTTAGTATAGATGATATTAAGAGATGAGACCGACGCCCATGCAAAAGAATACTATCCATCTACCTGTAAAATCCGGGCATACAGATTTCTACAAAACAGTGCTCAGGTAAATAAATAGCAAAAATAGTCTACCTTGGACAGAACTAAGAGTGCTTTAATTTGATTCGCACCTGCTAGTAACTAAGTAAGTTTGCTTTAGTGAGTGAGTTTTTACGCCGCTTTCAGCAATATTCCAGCAACATCACGGCGGGGACACCAGAATAGGGCTTCACACAATTTACCCATATGGGGAATCGACCCCGGTCTATGGCGTAACGAGCTAACGCGTAAACCACTTGGCTACCCCATCGCTCTTGAATTGGTTTTAACACTGTTTCAATCGAAGTCATATAAAGGGGAATCCAGTGCATTTGAAATGAACTTGGAAATTACCCAAGGAAGTAATTCGACGTTATTTACCGTTATTGCAATAGTAGTACCTCCCCGACTCGGCTATTAAGACTCACCCGTGGATAAAACTTTCACACAGAAAAACAAAGTTTTTAACACATTCTTGCGTTTTACCTGTGTCAGTTAGCGATTCATATATCATGTGACAAACTGTGCTTTACCATGACCCATCAGTGTTAATAATGTGGATATTTGAAAACTGAGTGCGAAGATCGATAAGCTGAGTTTAACGCCGCCTTTAACAGTATTCCAGTTATATCAAGGCGTGTTAGATTCATGTGTGAGAAAAGACGGAGGTGATGCAGGTCCCCGACGTTTACCACTTTGGTGAAACTCACAACACGCGTATGGTGCTGACAAACATAATCGGGGCGAAACAGGATCCGGACCCACGATCATAGGTTTCTGGCACGCACAAGGGACGCAACTCTGCACAATGAATTTCGTCGCCTTTAGCGACTGAATCACCCGTGCCATCTAAAACCAACACGTGTGAGATAAAAGTTCTGCTTGTTTATTTTGTTTATTTAAGCATCAGTGTTTAATAGAATTTATAAAGATGAGTTTTAGTGTGTAGAGAATCAACAGTACAGATGCAGATCTAGTGTTTAATAGGTGCAGTAGTTATTGATTGAAAAGAAATTATTAAAATTAAAAAAAGTTATTAAAAGTCGCTTAAGTGTTCTTCACATACTTATTCTTACTTCTCAAAGCCTGAATTCGCTTCCAGCTGTGGTATCAAAAATTATTTTATAAAAAAATGTGTTTTCAAATACAGCGAAACCCTGTCGCCCCAACGAATACTCCATGGATCTTGAACGTAAAAACATACATATTTGCGGAGGAACCTTACACAGGACCCACTTTTCGTGAATTCCGATATAATATATTGATTTATTTATTTAATTTGGGAGTATTAACTGGTGCAGGGTTTCACTGTATGAATAAAATAAATATAAATTGAATCATATGACGTCATCGGTATCGTATTTCCACCTGTACATTCTCAGAGACAAATGTCACAGTTCAATTGCGACAAAATTCTATCATAAGTTGGCTTCCTAAAATAAAACATTCCTCAAAGTGAGTACATTTTTCTAAGATGATATTAAGGTATGTATCTTTCGATTTCTGCAAAAAGAAAAAAATACATTTAATCGTAGTTCATCTCATCGATGCTATCTCATTAAAATCAGATATTTTACTCCGATACGATAACTCGATCATGAAGATCTGACAACCCCCCCATGGAATGTCGCGTCTGGCAGACTTTCTAATCAGCCAACCAGCTTCTAAATTCTCGGTACGATTGAGAAAAGTGTTCTGTATCTCGAAAACAAAATTAAACGACCAGTTCTGAATTTATAAGATAAAGGGCTCGCTATGATATTGCTTTGGATATTGTATACGCCCTGTCTTTCTGACCGCCTTAACTTATTCATCCAACAGAGATTACCATCGATGGAAAATTTGTGTCATTGCCCTGTGTCAATTTTCCTGTGAAAATCCAAATGTCGGAGAGGGGTGGTGTAGAGATGCCGATTCGTTTAAGAAAGTTGACTCCCGATTGGCTAATTAAACCCATTCACTTTTTTATTTACTTGTGCGGTCAAAGTTCAGTGTTCACCTGACGCGACTGCTACGGAGAGGTTGTTGAATCTTCACGCAAAGTTTTATTGTATCGGGGTAAAGATCTTATCAAAATCTTAATATCCCTGAAGACTATTTATTATTATTACACATTAAAAAATACAAATTAAAGGTGTCCAAAACAGCTCAAAACACAACATAACAACATAAAGCTGAAAACATACCTGCGACCTCTGCGTTTGATAACTTTATCCGGTCAATGGAATCTGTATCCGAGTCGTAGTCTTCAGCAACCGGAAGTTTAGGAGTTGTCGGCCCATTGAGGTTGACAGATTTGACCGCTAGGTCATTGGAGGCGCTGGCACCAGCCCCGAGGTTGTTGATCCGAGTGGGTATTCGGGGCTGTGGTTGGATGTTTGGCGGGATGTTAGGTTGGATGTTTGAGTGACCGTGCATGGCCGATGGCGTGGAAAAGGTATCTGCGTACATCGGGTTATCAATGCCTACCACCGCTGTAAAAGATTGACCCGTGAAGATCCGAGTTAGAATTGGTCTTCTGCAACCCAGGCTTGTCGTAAGAGGCGACTAAAGGGATAGGGTGGTCAGACTCGCCTGCTTGATGCATGTCATCGTATCCCAATTGCGTGGATTGATGCTCATTATATCAATCAGTGGATTGTCTGGTCCAGACTCGATTACATACAGCTGGAATATTGGTGAGTGCGGCGTTAAACAACGAACAATCAAACAAACAAACTGTAAAAGATAGTCAGTGCGATGAGTGAGTGACTGTTGTTTTGAGCCGCACTCACCATTATTCAAGCTTCGTAGCGGCGGCCTGTAAATAATCGAGTCTGGGGCAGACAAACAATTAATTGGTTTCATCAGCTAAGTCCCAGTCCGTAGGGATATGGTGACAAGCTGTCAAGCCTGACATTCCGATCTACTTGAGTCGACTTTTACGACAATCAAGTTTTAGCACCCAACCGGGTCTCAAGAAGACTCGAACTCGGGCCTTCGGCTTGACGAGCGAACGCTTTAACCACATTGCTACATAGCCACACCTGTCTAAATAATATATTTAACTGTTTTTTAACCATTATGATCACGCTTTTCTTCTGAGCCAGGAATCCATTGGTCATTCTGAACATGCATTTTGTCAGTCATAGGTCAGTATGTAAAATCATAGAGATATTGTACATCCACCATTACATGGATTCGGGAAGTAAAATCAATGAGCCCTGATTCGATTATTAACAAATTCAAGTGATTTTCCAGTAAATAGTATTAACTTACGTCCGCCATTGACAGCTGGCCCGTTGTCGTAAATGGCCGTCATTGTGTCTCTCTTGAGTTTTCGCATCCTCCTCATGAAGAAGAGGACCAGCACAATGACCACAATGACCAGACCGATAGCCACAGCGATGATAGCCAACACAAGGGGGTTCATGCCACCGTTCTCTGTAGGCGTTGATGTCGACGGTACGGGGGCCTGAACGTTGCTCTGGCCGTCGCCGTTTTTCTTGACGTCATTGTTGTTGTTGTTGTTGTTGTTGTTGTTGTTATTGAGAGGAGCCTCCACAGGCCCCGCTGAAAATATATCTTAAAGGTATCATTACTCAGAAAAACATATCCTCACTAAATTCATTACTTCACTAAACCTTTCCTGAACTGATACTATGCAAATACGGTATCCTGCGAAAAAGTACCCATTTTGAGTTACGTCATAATGGGCTCACACTTGAAGTTAAAAAGTTCAGATCAAAACTTTACTCTACTTAAGAACACATCGGGAAGGAGCAAACTTCATAAATAAATGTGTAACACCACAAGCGTCTGAATATTAATAAAAGGTGCAAAATTAATCTAAACAAAGGGAGATAACTATGAATTCGTGGCATATTGCGATAAATTCATTGTGTTCAATCATTCAATTGAAATTGTTAAGTATGACGTCATCACGTCATTGATTCTTTAACAAGCGTGAGGAGTATTGTGCAATATGGTCCATAGTAGGTGACTAGTATCATGAGCATCCATAAACGCAATTGGGATACGATGACCTGACCACCCAATACCGTTGGTCGCCTCTTACGAAAAGCATAGTCGCCGTTTACGGCAAAGATGGGTTGCTGAAGACCTGTTCTTACCCGGATCTGGGCTACATGTATCTGGAGATGCACAAAGCACCGTCAATAATTCGGCGAAAAACGCGAGCATCGTTATGATGGGGACTGAAGTCAAGCTTAAATGCACAGTGAATTGCAGGGCGTTGTTCCGGCAAACCCATACCAGTCTGGGCGATTCTAACCCAAAGACAAAACGTATAACACAGAATGGTTTCCTATCCCCTTTGTTGTTTGTGGGCGAGTGAGTGAGTTGGATTTAACGCTGCTTTGAACAGTATTCCAGTTACATCGCGGTGTGTCAGCTAGCTATGGAAGGACAGCCCGAAGTGATGCAGGTCTCGGACGTTTACCACTTCGGTGAAACCCACGAGCACGGGTATGGTGCTGACAAACCTAGAAACATAATTGGGTCGAACCGGGATTCGAACCCACAATCATAGGTTTCTGGCGTGCCCAAGTGACGCAACTCTGCACAGCGAATCGCGGCGCCTTAAACGACTGGGCCACCCGTGCCCACCGCAAATAGTACTGGCCTATTCCAAAGAGTTTTCCATGACGCCCCCTACATATTTTTGGACGTACCATGGATGGACCTTTTGTGTCAAAACCACAAACATGGCGAAGACGGTAATAAAATGATCGAACCAGTCCATCATGTCGCTTAAGATATTGTGTTTGTGCCCAAGCTGGGCATCCATTGACAATGTCTTGGAAGGTCTCACTAAATCATTACATAATCTACATTTCATATTTACATTTTGATGCAAAAAATCTCAAATTGGCTGTTTCTAGTGGGAATTGTCCTGTGCAGCAAACAGAAAGCACTGACATTGAGATTATGTCCTTCATCCTTGGCTTGTTTAAGAAAACTGTGGAATGCCTTGTTTTCATAATGTTTGTTTTGTTTGTTTGTTGTTTAACGCTGCACTCAGCAATATGCCTGCAAAATGGCGGCGGTCTGTAAATGGTATGGTGCTGACAAACCTGGAAACATAATCGGAGTGAACCGGGATTCGAACCCACAATCAGAGGTTTCTGGCGTGCCCAAAGGACACAACTCTGCACAGCGAACTGCAGCGCCTTAGACGACTGGGCCACCCGTGCCTCCCTGTTCCTTGTGAATCAGACAATGAAACTGTGGATTGGTTCACTCACCTAAACATCCTTTGAACCTATCACAGATTTGCCCCGCATCACAGAAGCAGTGGTTGCGACAGTTTCGCCCAAAGTAACCGTCCGTACATGCTGAAATAGTCAAATCAAAACAGATTCATTTCTGTACAATACAACCCTATACAATCAATATCTATAAAAAGCGTGGACCGCCTCCGTGGTCTAGTGGTAGAGCATCCGCCCGGAGAGCAGAAGGTCCGGGGTTAGATCTCCGGCCGCGTCATACCAAAGGACGTTGAAAGATGGTACTTGTTGTTACCCTGTCTGGCGCTCGGCATTAAGGGGCTTAAACAAGGACTGGTCGGCTCGGAGGTGTTTTTTTTCAAATTAAACTGCGGCATGGTATCTCAGTGGGCTAGCACCATAAAACGGGATCAGTCCGGACTAGCACAAGCAGCCACACACACACACACCCACGTGCATGCACATCGCTATATAAGTGCAATAATCTTGGACGCGACGTTAAACCCAATTCACCTCACCTCACAATATAACCCTATACAATATGTAGCCAAACGTGATGCAGGATGGTCCAATTACTTTCAAATTTTACATTTTACAGGACAATTATTTCATACAGAAAGAAATGGCGTAAATAAAAGATTGTCCAAAATGTTCAAAAGCCGATCCGATTTCTGTGGGCTATGCAAATGTTCAATAATGAATCTTTTATTGACAGAATATTTTTTAAATGGTCCCTCACCTTGTCCACAGTCCCTGCCGGTGAACCCAGCCGTACACTCGCACATCCCATCAGTTGCCCGACAATGAGCCCCGTTCAAACAATTACACTTGAAGGCACAGTTGTCGCCATATTGTCCCGCAGTGCATCCTGAAGCAAAGAAGTCGCGATTTGGGCGTGGTATTTTCTGATCGTTTACAAAGTTCATCAACAATGTGTTTGTTTGTTTGTCAATTTGTTGTTTAACGCCGCACTCAGCAATATTCCAGCTGTATGACGGCGGTCTGTATATAATCTAGTCTGGACCAATCAATCCAGTGATTGACATCATGAGCATCGATCCACGCAAATAGGATCGATGACATGCATCAACCAAGTCAGCGAGGCCTGACCACCCGATCCCGTTAGTCGCCTTTTACGACAAGCATAGTCGCCTTTTACGACAAGCATAGTCGCCTTTTACGACAAGCATAGTCACCTTTTGCGGCAAGCATGGGTTGCTGAAGATCTATTCTATCCCGGATCTTCACGGGTCGATAGTATACAATGTGTCAGATTGGAATAGACACTCCAGCGATTGACATCAAAGCAAATCATCGATCAAAGCAAAGGATTCCATCTGGTTTTGTGTTCTTTAACGCAGCAATATTCCAGCTAGTTTTATAGCTAGTCTGGACCACACAATCCTGTGATTGACATCATGAGCATTGATCCACGCATTTGGGATATGATGACATGCATTAACTAAGTTAGCGAACCTGACCACCCGATCCCGTTAGCCGCCTCTTATGCTACTATTCCACACTGACCACGAATACCACGAATTGATAAATTTTAGGATTCGCAGTTGAATCGTAATCAGTTGGTGAAATTCTTAACTGATTCGCATATATTCGTAGTTAGTTCTTACAATTCTTGAGCTATCGGAAATTCGTGGCAAAAGTTTTGGCCACGAACTCCCGATTCAAAAATATCGTAGTTAATTCGTAACAAATTCGTAATGCGTTCTTAGGCATCGTAACTGAATCGTCATCGATTCGTAGGCAATCGTAGGTATTCTTAACTCATTCGAGGATTCGTGAATTCGTGCCTTTACGACGAATCGGCTACGAATCTGTCACGAATCCCACGAATACACGCCGAAGCAGGTACGAAGCTCACGATCCAATCACGAATCAGCTACGATTGCCGGCAAATTGGGTATATAAGGAAATTAACATTGATTTCAGGTCATTAGCTGCTTCTAGCTATCAGCAGCTGGTGTTGATACTCCAGTTCCAGGGCCAATAATGCAGCTGCTCTACGTTGGACGTCCATTTTGAAGCTGATGCCCAAGCATGGGTGGGGGCCTTTTTGTAGCTATCTTGAGGGAAAAACCCCAAAATTGTCACGAATTCATGTTTATTCGTACCTGATTAGTACATGCATTCGGCGTATTCTTAACTGATTCGTAACTGATTCCTAACTTTCGTGCAGTATTCGTAATAGCTTCTTGTAAATCTTAGTGAATTCTTGACAATATTCATGCGAATCCAGCCGAATGCCACGAATATTCGTAACTCTATCGGACCTGTATCGTAACTAGATGTTAGAGCGTCACGAATTGAACCAGAATAGTTACTAAATTCCACGAAACCTAAAAATTAACCAATCGTGGCGATTCGTGGGATTCGTGCTCTGTGTGGAATAGTAGCATAACGACAAGCATGAGTTGCTGAAGACCTATTCTAACCCGGAATCGTCACGGGAGGGTTTCGTCAGGTTGCTTGGTGTTGACATATACTTACTATCTTCACACGTTGTGCCGTTGTAGCCGGGGTAACAGTCGCAGGTGCCGCTCACGTGGCTGCACGTGCCAAAGCGACACGGTTGACAGCGCCCCCTGCATTTTTCCCCGTATGTTCCGACCGGACACACTGCAAGTAACACAGCATGATATGATTGAATTCAAGAGTTCTGGTGTAATAGTGAGTGAGTATGGTTTTACGCCGCTTTTAGCAATATTCAAGCAATATCACGGCGGGGGACACCAGAAATGGGCTTCACACATGTCGGGAATCGAACCCGGGTCTTCGGCGCGACGAGCGAACGCTTTAACCACGAGGCTACCCGATCGCCCCTCTGGTATAATAAGAATGAAAGACGGATTCGAATTGCCACCTAATTTAAATGAAGGTTTTCTAAGTTTGGTTGACTGGTTGGTTGGTTGGTTGGTTGGTTGGTTGTTTAACGCCGCACTCAGCAATATTCCAGCCATATGACGGCGGTCTGTAAATAATCGAGTCTGGACCAGACAATCCAGTGATTTACATCATGAGCATCGATCAAAGCAAATGGGATACGATGACATGCATCAACCAAGTCACCGAGCCAGACAACCTGATCCCGTTTCCACCCGTTCCCGTTTGTCGCCTCTTACGACAAGCATAGTGGCATTTTACACAAGCATAGCTATAGGGTGCTGAAGACCTATTCTACCCCGGATCGTCACGGGTTGAATAAATGTCACAGAACACAAGGGACTTTCCACTTTGCAGCCAAAGAGGCAATTTGAATCCTGATGTTCGTATGAATGAATGAATGTTTATGAATGTTTATTCTCGTAAATCACGGCAGTGATACAGAGATGTAATTGGATACAGGAATTAGATACAATAGGAGAAAACATGTCAGTGGAACATTTCCATACATGATCTTATATAACTTGCCAGTTCGCGGGGGGTGCGATCGGCAATCAGTCATACAAAAAATTAATGTAGTATTTTTCCAGTCTCTTCCTCAAAACCTTTCCTCTAATACGTATGTTAATTTTCATCAAACGAAAAGGATTCGAGATATACAAAAACTGAACCAATCTGAAACTGGCCTTGGTGAATTTAAACCATTAAACAATTATATATTTCAGAGTAATATAAACCTATGGCAGATATAAAACTGGTGAGTTTAAACATAATTCTACTCGGTTTCAAATTAAAATAAGAGGTATCTATCTACATCAAATTTCAAAATTTTGATTTATCTTCTCAATCAAACTGTATTAAACTGTATTTTGCCAAGCTAGGCCGATAACCTAAATGTTATTACAATGGTATAAAAAAACTTAACAAATATTATTATAAAGTGAACCCCAAACCGATCTTAAACTGATCAAGTGTGACCACAATCCTCAAACTAAATACCTACCTGAATCTATGTCGATCTCAGACTGACCAAGAGTGATCTTGAAGAGGAGAAACTGAACACACACACTCACAACCACTGTCCTCATGTTGACAATATAAATAAACAACACTTTTTTTAACATTAGTACGTTACAAAGTGCAAGTCAGGAGGGCGGGGCGTTGGTTGCTAGGCAACACGTGAGACTCCCTGTGCGTCCAGAGATGACGCAGCTCTGCTGGACGTCACACAAAGCGGTTAGGAACGCTCCGGGTGGCGGACCACTGGTGTGCGTATGTGGTTAGATCAGAGAGGTACATGTATATAAAGCACTTCCGTCTTGAAGCTGCAGCCGAAACCGCACGTCATCGATTCATTTCGCGTTTTCCAGCTCCAGCTAGAACGTGATGTTTCGAGTGAGTGAAAATGGTTTTACGCCGCTTTCAGCAATATTCCAGCAATATCACGGCGGGGGACACCAGAAATCGGCTTCACACATTGTACCCATGTCGGGAATCGAACCCGGGTCTTCGGCGTAACGAGCGAACGCTTTAACCACTAGGCTACCCGACCGCCCCTGATATGTGTCGAAAATGAACGAAATATGATCATGGGTAAGAATTCAATCCACAGCCTGGAAAGGTTTAAGTTTACCTTTTGGCCGAACAGCTGTATAACGGAATTTATTTGAACGCGTTAGTCAGTTTGAATTCATGCCAATTTGAACGCTGTGTGGCAGCCTGATGTCCGTCATATTGTTGACCGCCTCCGTGGTCTAGTGGTAGAGCGACGGCTCGGAGAGCGGAAGGTCGGGGTTCGATCCCCTGGCCGCGTCATAACAAAAGACGTTGAAATATGGTACTTGTTGTTACCCTGGCTGGCGCTCGGGATTAAGGGGCTAAAACAAGGACTGGTTAGCTCGGAGTCAGTATACTGTGTCTGAGTGGGGTACTCATGTTAAACTGCGGCATGGTATGTCAGTGGGCTAGAACTATAAAAACGGCATTAGTCCGGACTAGTACAAGCACACACACACAAACACACACAAAAACACACACACACACACACACACACACACACACACACACACACACACACACACACAGTGAGAGAATGCACTTTTTTTAGCTATACCAAGGCGATTTACATCAATAATCGAATCTAGATATGGCTTACAAGTGTTGGGGCACGTGACACAGCCAGTCCGGTAACACGTTATAACCATGTGATACACACAAGTCGACCTTTCTGACAAACATGGGTACTGGCGATCTGTTCTGACAGATTACCTTCCGGGTATTAACGTTAAATTCATCATCATCATCATCATCATCATCGTCGTCGTCGTCGTCGTCGTCGTAGTCGTCATCCTCATCCTCATCGTTACTCACCTTCTTCGCAGAGGTAGCCCCTGTAACCAGGGTCGCACGGACATTGTCCAGTAACTGGGTCACACGCTTGATTGGTCACCGAGCAGCTGCATTGGGACACACAGTTGGGTCCATAGGTTCCCCTTGGACACACTGAACGGAACAACATGTCACAGGTATGAGTTATATACAAGATATATCTGATTGAACAGAAGAAGGCATAGTGCAGGTATATAACAGTGAAAGGAAAAACATGTCACAGATATGAGTTATATACAAGATATATCTGATTGAACAGAAGAAGGCATAGTGCAGGTATATAACAGTGAAAGGAAAAACATGTCACAGATATGAGTTATATACAAGATATATCTGATTGAACAGAAGAAGGCATAGTGCAGGTATATAACAGTGAAAGGAAAAACATGTCACAGATATGAGTTATATACAAGATATATCTGATTGAACAGAAGAAGGCATAGTGCAGGTATATAACAGTGAAAGGAAAAACATGTCACAGATATGAGTTATATACAAGATATATCTGATTGAACAGAAGAAGGCATAGTGCAGGTATATAACAGTGAAAGGAAAAACATGTCACAGATATGAGTTATATACAAGATATATCTGATTGAACAGAAGAAGGCATAGTGCAGGTATATAACAGTGAAAGGAAAAACATGTCACAGATATGAGTTATATACAAGATATATCTGATTGAACAGAAGAAGGCATAGTGCAGGTATATAACAGTGAAAGGAAAAACATGTCACAGATATGAGTTATATACAAGATATATCTGATTGAACAGAAGAAGGCATGGTGCAGGTATATAACAGTGAAAGGAAAAACATGTCACAGATATGAGTTATATACAAGATATATCTGATTGAACAGAAGAAGGCATGGTGCAGGTATATAACAGTGAAAGGAAAAACATGTCACAGATATGAGTTATATACAAGATATATCTGATTGAACAGAAGAAGGCATAGTGCAGGTATATAACAGTGAAAGGAAAAACATGTCACAGATATGAGTTATATACAAGATATATCTGATTGAACAGAAGAAGGCATAGTGCAGGTATATAACAGTGAAAGGAAAAACATGTCACAGATATGAGTTATATACAAGATATATCTGATTGAACAGAAGAAGGCATAGTGCAGGTATATAACAGTGAAAGGAAAAACATGTCACAGATATGAGTTATATACAAGATATATCTGATTGAACAGGTGAGGTGAAATTGGGTTAACGTCGCGTCCAAGATTATTGCACTTATATAGCGACGTGCATGCACGTTTATGTGTGTGTGTGGCTGCTTGTACTAGTCCGGACTGATGCCGATTTATAGTGCTAGCTCACTGAGATACCATGCCGCAGTTTAACATGAATACCCCACTCAGACACAGTATACTGACTCCGAGCCGACCAGTCCTTGTTTTAGCCCCTTAATGCCGAGCGCCAGACAGGGTAACAACAAGTACAATCTTTTAACGTCTTTTTGTATGACGCGGCCCGGGATCGAACCCTGGACCTTCCGCTCTCCGGGTGGACGCTCTACCACAAGACCACGGAGGCGGTCTCTGATTGAACAGAAGAAGGCATAGTGCTGGTATATAATAGTGACAAGAATAACATGTTTATCACACCTTCATGTCAGAATAGCGAGATCTGATTGGTTCCCGTGGTCTTGATAAAATACCATGTTCCCCGCCTTGGAGGGAAATAGATTTCTCAACGCGAGATAAAAACCCTTATACCCCGCCACGAATTAAGACAGACTGCACGTGGATTTCTGAGAGGGAGAATAAACCAAGACGCACGCAACATAGCACAAAGTCCACCTCAGCTCAATCGAACAGTTGTTTCCTATCAATTTTGAATTTGTATTAATTTTTTATTGTAATATTTAAACATGTCAGTAAGATAAACACGTTGTTGCAGGATCACTCGAGGTACATGGGGTTGTATGCGTCCCGCGTTAGGTTTTATATCCATCGCTTCCGGCTACGGCTACGGCTCCGCCGACATTTTATGTCGAAGCATAATAAATATCAAATCGCGGATAAACATCATCTTCCACACCAGTTCGGTTTATTTGATTTTATGGTATTTAAAAATACGACACGAGAAATCTGAAACGTTCTGTGGCTTCAGAAGAGAATGACCCTCTGAAGATCCGGGGAAGAACTGATTGTCATGTCTCGATTCCTCACAGACCGCCGTCATGTAGCTGGAGTATTGCTGGGTGTGGCGTTAAATAAACATCATAATAGTGATATTGACATAGGTGAGGTGAGGTGAAGTGGTTTTTAACGTCGCGTCAAAGATTATTGCACTTATATAGTGACGTGCATGCGTGTGTGTGGCTGCTTGTACTAGTCCGGACTGATGCCGATTTATAGTGCTAGCACACTGAGATACCATGCCGCAGTTTAACATGAATACCCCACTCAGACACAGTATACTGACTCCGAGCCGATCAGTCCTTGTTTTAGCCCCTTAATACCGACCGCCAGACAGGGTAACAACAAGTACCATCTTTCAACGTCCTTTGGTATGACGCGGCCGGGGATCGAACCCCGGACCTCCCGCTCTCCGGGCGGACGCTCTACCATTAGACCACGGAGGCGGTCGATATTGGCATAGGAACGAGATGTCATCCTTACGTGGTTGCAACAAACAGTATGAATTAACACAGTGAAAGTATCAGAATTCAGCATCTCCCAAAGGCAAGGGAGTTAACTGACTAAAATTCCAGTTTCCACCCTTGCCGAAATAAGTGGGAAATTCTGGTCTCGATCGTAGCGCCACCAGTGGCTATTAAGAGTTATGGCCCTCCAATGTCCCTCCTACTGACCAATCAGATTACACCTCTTATATCATCTGCTTCAAATAAAATGGCGGCGGATCTATGTTGTCATAAAACGGATCTTACTTCGCGGAGTGCATCAAAACACGTGAACACCTTGATCAAAAACATTAAAAGATTTAGAAAATATCTGTTGACAACGAGTTGGCGGTACACGTGCTTTGCAAATCCTGCAATCGACCAGTTTACGAACCGGATGTAGATTTTGTTACGCGATTTTCATTGGACAATGCACAGAATCTTGTTAGTCCAGCCAAAATATAACTCCATCATTCCGGCCATTTCGGCAAGTGTGAAAACTTGACTTTCATAGTTAGTTAACGCTGTTCCCTCGGGAAGATGTAATTCAGTAAATGTCACAATACCGATAGCTATTATATGATCTGAATCATTTTCAATAAATATAACTAAGTTATATTTCCAGACAGCTAAAAACTATCTGGACTTACCGTCTGAGCACGTTGTCCCCGTTTTTCCCGCTGGGCAATCGCAGTCGCCATTAGCCTTGCACGTGCCTCCGTTGACACACTGGCATGTCTGGGTGCAGCCTGATCCCCATCTGTTCACTGGACACCGTGTGTCGCACCTGACCCCTGGTCAGTCAGAAATAACATGAGTGAGTGAGTTAATATTTTAGATCTCATTGGCAATAATACAGCCGTATCGCGATGAGAACAAGTTAGTTATTGTTAAATACCTGTCTACAAAGGAAGGAGAAATAACATTTTGTCAATAAGAACTGGGGACACAGGTGGCCCAGTCGTCTAAGGCGCCGCAATTCGCTGTGCAGAGTTGCGTCCCTTCGGCACGCCAGAAACCTATGATTGTGGATTCGAATCCCGGTTCGCCCGAATTATGTTTCTAGGTCTGTCAGCATCATATCTAACCGCAGCCGTAAACAACTCAATTCGGCCTTTCCTCATATAACTGGATTACTATTAAAAGCGGCGTTTGGGATCGATGCCATGCATCAACCAAGTCAGCGAGCCTGACCACCCGATTCCGTTAGTCGCCTATTTCGACAATAGTCGCCTTTTACGGCAAGCATGGGTTGCTACGACCTATTCTAATCTTCACGGGTCACTTAATCAAGTAATGAAAAGGGTTTATGCTGCTGTGAATAGTATATCGGTTGCGTAGCCTCGTGTGAAGGCCTCCTCTTACCTCTCCACCCATCCTTGCAGTTGCAGGAACCAGTGATTGGGTCACAAGACGCCGTATGTGAAGAGCTACAGGCACACGACTGGCGGCAGCTGAATCCAAATGTACCCTCCTGTAAACATAGCAATCATCATAAACATGCGATAACCGTTAATCAGAAATTAAACATAGTCATCGATCGTTTATTCCAAACGCTGCCTAATCCCAAACCGAGATCTATAGTCTGGCTCACGTCTTTGTTTCTACACGTCACAAATGGTTGTTATAAACGTTAGAAAGAAGAAAAACGAGAATTCCAGTGTGACGTGTGGGTCAGGTGCTACGTTAGATCTTCCAGTCTTTGTGTATCGCTTGATGGATTCCTTTAATATCTACAGTCACGGTTATCAGGAACGTGATACTTTGACAGTAAGGTCGCACGAGTGGATTGGGGGAGGGGTGGGGTGGGGGGTGGGGAAGTTGGGGGGGGGGGGGGGGGGGGGGGCTGAGTTGGAAGGGGGGGGGGGGGGGTGATGATGCAGGTCTTGACATGACTAAATCCCACGAGCACGGATTATTGTCCCCCACGAATCCTGGGTTCGAACCCACGGTCATAGGATCCTATTTGTGGCAAAGGGACGAAGCTCGGCACAATTAATTGCGTGTCAAGAAACTATCACAGAACTTCGTCACGTTTTGACTGGTGTTCCTTCGTGGTTAAATGGACCGCCTCCGTGGTCTAGTGGTAGAGAGTCCGCCCGGAGAGCGGAAGGTGCGGGGTTCGATACCCGGCCGCGTCATACCAAAAGACGTTAAAAGATGGTACTTGTTGTTACCCTGTCTGGCGCTCGGCATTAAGGGGCTAAAACAAGGACTGGTCGGCTCGGAGTCAGAATACTGTGTCTGAGTGGGGTATTCATGTTAAACTGCGGCATGGTATCTCAGTGAGCTAGCACTATAAATCGGCATCAGTCCGGAGTAGTACAAGCAGCCACTCAAACACATACACGTGTATGCACGTCGCTATATAAGTGCAATAACCTTGGACGCGACGTTAAACCCAATTTCACCTCACCTCGTGGTTAAATGTTGTTTTCTTTGACTGAGTCGGAGGTCTGTGTATTCGTATCACCTGTCTTCGGCAACCCATGCTTGCCGTAAAAAACCGACGATGCTTGTCATAAGTGGCGACTAATGGGATCGGGTGGTCAGACTCACTGATTTGGTTGATGCATGTCATCGTATAGCGAAGCTATAGATCGATAAAGTCAATCACTGGATTGTCTGGTCCAGACTCGAAAGATAGCTGAAAGATTACTACGTGTGACGTTAAACAAAAAATACACAAGAAAACAAACCTGACATGGTAGTTCACACCTGGCACCCCGGTAACCACGGGAACAAATGCACGTGCCGTTGCCTGGGTTACATTCGGCGTTGTTGAGACAGGAACACGTTTGGCTGCAGTTTTCGCCGAACTTGTCAACAGGGCAGCGGTCTTGACATCTGATTCCCGTCCAACCTGCCAACACAGTGACACTGTTTGAATTCATACGAAGGCGTCAACACAAGTACACAAACCAGAGGTTGGTAGTGTGAGCACTGATCACTCCGTCATGCATCATTTGTGCGTGCGTGCGTGCGTGCGTGCGTGCGTGCGTGCGTGCGTGTGTGTATGTGTGCATGCGCGCTTGTACTACCCAGGACTAATGCCGGTTTTGAAGTGCTAGCCAACTGAGATACCATGCCGCAGTTTAACATGAATACCCCACTCAGACACAGTAAACTGACTCCGAGCCGACCAGTCCTTGTTTCAGCCCCTTAATGCTTAATGCCGCAGTTTAACATGAATACCCCACTCAGACACGGTATACTGACTCCGAGCCGACAAGTCCTTGTTTTAGCCCCTTAATGCTAAACGCCAGACAGGGTAACAACAAGTACCATCTTTTAACGTCTTTTGGTATGACGCGGCTGGGGATCGAACCCCGGACCTTCCGCTCTCCGGCGGCCGCTACCACTAGACCACGGAGGCGGTCGTTTGGTCTGCAGGAGACATGGTAATAAATTATGTCTCACCTCTTGTGCATATACACTGGCCGTTGTGTGCAAGACATCTCTTAGCGTTGATGCACGAGCACTGCTGCAGACAATTGAAACCCCACATGCCAGCCTCGCATGGAGCATCACACCTTAAGAAAAACACAAGTTACATACTCGCATATAAAATCTTAAAGGGCAATTTAAGTGAAAAAAATGATTGTGAGTTTTTAGCGAATATCAGTTTTCCTGGATACATTTAGTTCATTGCCGAGAGTGAAAAAGTAATTATATGTAGAAAGTTATTTCAATGTCCAAGTGAAAGTGCTGAAATCACACACTCCTTAATCGGCTGTCAAAACAAACCTATTTGGGGGCGTGGCCTAAATTGTGGCCCGATCGTCATGATCGTTGAAATTGCGCCGCGCGTCAAACACAGGGAACCTGTTTTAACCTCCAGTCAGGGGATTCCCCGTACTGGTGGATTATCTTTTAGGGGACGATTTCGCCTGTCCTTTTTTCGGTGTGTTTAGGCTTATTCCATTTTTAAAATATAATTTTGGTGAAGCTTTTGTGATTAAGTATGCCGTAAAGTATTAAATCTGCAAAGTTGTTATGCTGCCTTTACTTGCCTTTAAACACAGCTTGAAAAGTGTGGGTTTATTTCAAGGTGAGATGTGTTGTTTTCAAACGATACCATCAGATACGTACTTCGAACCTTTAAATCCTGACGGACATTGGCATGCACCGGTCACTCGGTCACAGCCAGCGTTGTTTGCGCATGCGCAACGTTTGGAGCATCCATCGCCGAAGTACAAGAGGGGGCATGGGTTGGTGCAGTTCCCACCTGTCCACCCCGTCTTACAGTGGCACGTTCCAGTACTGGCATCACATTCCCGGGTATTCGCCTGCTCGCACGTGCAGACGCCGTTACAATTCTGGCCGTAGCGATCATAGGAGCATGCTGAGAACACAAGGAATGTTTTAACGATTTGAAGGACAAATGTTTGTGAAGCCGGAGTTTAGAAAAGGAGGGTGTGGGAAGGGCGGAGGCTTTACGGAGGGTGAGGGGCAGAGGGGGTTGAGGGGCAGAGGGGGTTGAGGGGCAGAGGGGGGGGAGGGGCAGAGGGGGGGGAGGGGCAGAGGGGGGGGAGGGGCAGAGGGGGGGAGGGGCAGAGGGGGGAGGGGCAGAGGGACAGAGGGGGGGCAGAGGGGGGAGGGACAGGGGGAGGGACGGGGGGAGGGACGGGGGGAGTGACAGGGGACAGGGGGTAGGGACGGGGGGAGGGACGGGGGGAGTGACAGGGGACAGGGGGTAGTGACAGGGGGCGGGGGCGGGGAGTGACAGGAGGCGGGGGGTGCAGGGGGAACAAAGGGGGGGAGGGAGGGAGTTTTTACTTAGTCATGGAAGAAAGGAGATAAACATAGTATTACTGTGTTTTCAATGTGACTGAATTGATGACGCGCATCTTGATACATGATGGATCACAGGATCGTTGGATGATAGGATCGTCATCACATAATTAATCAAAGTTAAGACCCCTAATGTTAGCATTTTCAGGAGCTTGACCCGGTCCAGGAGGGGTGGTCCAGTACCCCCATCATCTACACTACTTATAATGTCAATCACATAACCACTGATAACCACCCCTCTATGGAGTTATGAGAGACTATCATATAAATGTATAATAGATAGATATAGATATTCGTAAAATATACATTCAGTTGAATATAAATGTACAGGAAGACATGTTAAAAGTTGTACACAGATACTAAAAAGTTGTTAACTGTATACATAAATTTTTTACTTTATAAGAAACGTGTGCACTAGGTTTGAGATAATAATGAAACATTCCTCATTTAATCACCATCTGGCCAAATCTGTTTAAAAGGTATAAATTACATAAGGTTATGGACTAAAGAAAGTAACTTGATTGATTGAAGGGAGCGATGGATGATGGGACAGAACTTCCGAAATGAAGCCATTGGTTCCATCTTTCCGTGGCAAAGTCCAGTTTCCACCCCTGCCGAACTAGGTTGGAATTCTGCAGTTACATTTTGGCTGGACTATCGAGTTTATGCATAGTCCAATCAAAATCGCGAATCAAACTAGACATCCGGTTCGTAAACAACATTATTTCAACCTACAGTTTCCGGTCGACTGCAGAGTTTGTAAAGCATGTGTACTGCCAACTGGGCGTCGACAGATATTTTGCAAATTGTTTCATGTTTTTAATCAAGGAGCTTAAGTGATCTGACGCACTTCGCGAAGTAAGACCCGTTTTATTACAATATAGATCTTGATTATCGATCATATCGTCTTGACTTGGCGTCGCCATGTTGTTTGAAGAGAATGCAAGTGATATGAGAGATGGAATCTGATTGGTCAAATAGAGGGACACAGAAGGGACATAACTCGTGATAGCCACCGGTGGCGCTACGATCGAGCCTGGAAATTCCAGCCAAGTTCGGCAAGGGTGGAAACTTGATTTTATGGTCAGTTAACGCCCTTGCCTCAGGAAGATGTTGGCAAAGGGTATTTATAATATTACAATGCATCATTGAACATGATTCTGACACCGAATCAAAACCTGAACGCGCACTGAGACTCACCTCGCCTCTGACACTGTTGCCCGGTGTAGCCATGAGGACAGATGCAGGCCCCCGTGAAGGGGGAACAGGTGGCGCCGTGAAGACAATTACAGGTAGACGTACAGCTGGCTCCGTAATAACCTGGCTCGCACTGACCGTCACATCTGAAATACATTACGTATTGGAGACATTACGCTTACGAGGCTTTGTTAGACAGAGCATGCCCTGGGGAGAGGGAAAAACCAAGGGGGCGAAGTGTTTTCTAAATTGATTAAATGTTATAACGAGCATCTAAATGCATTACAGGTGAGGTAACTGTATTAAATATTCTTCAGAAGTGAAATGGGGTTAAACGTCGCGTCCAAGAATATCGTACTCATACATTGGCGTGCATGCACGTGTGTGTGTGTGTGAGTACTTGTCTGAGTGAGTGAGTGAGTTGGGTTTAACGCCGCTTTTAACAGTATTCCAGTCATATCGCGACGTGTCAGCTTAATGTGTGAGGAAAGCCCGAAGTGATGCAGGTCTCGGACGTTTACCACTTCGGTGAAACCCACGAGCACGGGTATGGTGCTGACAAACCTAGAAACATAATCGAGGCGAACCGGGATTCGAACCCACAATCATAGGTTTCTGGCGTGCCCAAAGGACGCAACTCTGCACAGCGAATCGCGGCGCCTTAGACGACTGGGCCACTCGTGCCCCCAGTACTTGTCTGAACTTATGCCGGTTTTATAGTGCTAGCTAAGAGATACCATGCCGCAGTTTAACATGAATACCCAACTTAGACACAGTATACTGGCTGCCAGCCGACCTGTCTTTATTTTGTTAATACCGACGGCCAGGCAGGGTAACAAAAAGTACCATTTTCTTAACCTATTTTGGTATGACGCGACCGGTCATCAAACCTCTGACCTTTCGCTCTCCGGGCAGATGCTCTAACCACTTAAGCCCGGGAGCGGTCAAATATATAAAATTTAAAGGAGAGTTATTTCACTGACTCAACAAACGCACCTACAATGCATGAGGGTATTTCAAGGACTCCAAAACTCCAAAACTGCTCTGTGAATTCTACATTTTATTCACATTGCTACATCCATTTATTTCAAAACTGTTGAAACATCTTTCCCGTCATTGTTATACAAATAAGAGGATAGAGTCTATTTCAAAATGCCATTGTTCCGGGGTAGAATAGGTCTTCAGCAACCCATGCTTGCCGTAAAAGGTGACTATGCTTGTCGTAAAAGGCGAGTAACCGGATTGGGTGGTCAGGCTCGCTGACTGGGTTGATGCATGTCATCGATCCCAATTGCGTGGATCGATGCTCATAATATTAATCACTGGATTGTCTGGTCCAGACTCGATTATTTACAGACCGCCGTCATATAGCTGGAATATTGCTGTGTGCGGCGTTAAATAACAAACCAACCAACCAACCAAAATGCCATTGTGAAATATTACTCATTTACACAGGAAGAGAATATATAATAAGTATGTCTGAACCTTAATATAAACTATTGTTACTGACATTACAATATTACTTATTAATGATTTTCATGAGAAATCTACATTATTTGCTGTAACCATAACACCCACCTTGCTCCCAGATAGCCGTCCCCGCATCGACACGTGCCGCTTACACTGTCGCATGTGGCGTTGTTGTAGCAGTTGCAATGCCTGGCACAGTTCGGCCCGTACTTCAAGTGACCACACGGGATATTGCACTTGGAACCCTGTGGAAACAATTACATGTATAGTCCATCTCCCAACAAGAAATCAGCACGTGGGTTTCTGAAATCCACTGCCAGGCAAAAGAAACTGCAAACTTGAAAACTGGATTTGACAAAAAAAATTAATGTTTTCAGCCTGAAAGCAGTCACTGAAACAATGCCGTCTTTTGGTTCAAAACATAGCTTTGATACCCGTATCAAATGCATCTCCTAATTTCTTTGTTTCATTTTTTGCCACCATGGGTGTATACCTTCTTTTGCCCGGCAGTTAAGATATAAAGGAGACCCGTAAAACCGTCTAATATGATTATTCAGATCTATGAATAAAGAATCAAAGTGGCAAAGTATTTACAAGACTGTGTGACAAGAGGGATGACTTTCACATTGTCAACTTTACCTTGATCCCCAGGACCCGTGAAGATCCGGGGTAGAATAGGTCTCCAGCAACCCATGCCTGCCGTAAAAGGTGACTATGCTTGTCGTAAAATGCGACTAACGGGATCGGGTGGTCAGGCTCGCTGACTTGGTTGATACATGTCATCGATCCCAATTGCGTGGATCGATGCTCATTACATCAATCACTGGATTGTCTGGTCCAGACTCGATTATTTACAGACCGCCGTCATACAGCTGGAATATTGCTGAGTGCGACGTTAAACAACAAACCATCCTTGATCACCAGCAATATTCCAGGAGCTCCGACTTAAGGTGTCATATTTCACAACTTGTAAGTTACAAATGCTCTTTCTACGAATATATTAAAGAAAGCTAATCTCGCTTGCACGGTGTTTGGTCAGAGTTACAACATTCAAGGCCCCAGTAAAGCTTTCAAAATGTTTTATGGTAGACATGTGGCGGATATTTCCAAATGTGACGCATCAGTGTTTGATGTTTAACGCCGCACTTAGCAATATTCTAGCTATATGACGGTGGTCTGTAAATAATCGAGTCTGGACCAGACAATCCAGGGATTTACATCATGAGCATCGATCCACGGAATTGGGATACTGTGACATGCATCAACCAAGTCAGCAAGCATATGGAGTTATGAGATACTATTATATAAGTGTATAATAAAGTAAGATATTCGTAATACATACATTCAGTTAAAAAAACATGTACAGGAAGACATGTAAAAAGTTATACATAGAGACTAAAAAGTTCGCACAATTGGGATACGATGACATGCATCAACCAAGTCAGCGAGCCTGACCATCTGATCCCGTTAGTCGCCTCTTACGACAAGCATTGTCGCCTTTTATGACAAGCATGGGTTGCTGAAGACCTATTCTACCCCGATCTTGTGGCATTAAAAGCAGTTATTACTGAATCCCTCGTCTTCTTCAAGGCACACTTCCGTCGCTTACCGTCCACCCAGCCGTACACTGGCAACTGCCGTCAATGTTGCTGCAAAGAGCCTCGTTCTGACAGTCGCATGTTTGTTGACAGTCGTCGCCATGGGTATTTGCCGGACATGTCAGGTGGCACCTGAAACGGACATGTACAAATCATTACTCACTAAAACAACAAGGGCTTTCATGGCAAACAGTGGACAAAGGTGTCTCAGTCGTGTGACGCCCCAATTAGCTGTGTAGTGTTGCGTCCCTTGGGTTCCTGGGTTCGATTCCAAGATTATGTTTCTCGGTTTGTCAGCACCAAAGTGGTAAACCCCAATCCCTGCGTCACTTCGGGCATTTGTCCTCAGCCCAAGGGATTAAGGGTGTGACAAAGGGATCAGTTGGTCAAGCTCGCTGCCTTTGTTGATGCAAGTCATGGTTTCCCAAATTGCTTTGATCGATTCTCTTGATGTCAACCACTGGATTGCTTGGTGCATACTCGATTATTAACAAACCGCTGTTTCAAACTGGAAATATTGCTGAGTGCGGCGTTAAACAAAAAACATACAAAACATAAAATGACACGCCATTACATAACTGAAATCCCCGGATGAAGGAGTAAGCATATACTCCGAAACGTTGTGTCCCTCGTAATAAAGAAGTTGACATCCATAAATCCTCTTCCTTATGTGCATCACTTCTAAATGCCTTTCAAAGACTTGAAATACTTTTTGACCATTCAGAAAGTAAATTGTACGTCATGACGAATATGAACTTCCTGTATACTTTCAACAGACAATCATGTGCTTGGAAACCCAAGTGTTTTTTAACTTGACATGAATACAATCTGAAAATATGTTATTACTCGTTCAAGGGGCGGTCGGGTAGCCTAGTGGTTAAAGCGTTCGCTCGTCACGCCGAAGACCCGGGTTCGATTCCCGACATGGGTACAATGTGTGAAGCCCATTTCTGGTGTCCCCCGCCGTGATATTGCTGGAATATTGCTAAAAGCGGGGTAAAACCATACTCACTCACTCACTCGCTATTACTCATTCAATCTTGGAAACGTGTCATTTGTCCATTATACACACGTGTGCAACCTACACAGCTCACTTCGTACGCAAATGACTTCGCGAAGCTTTCGCTAAACGCTTTTGAGAAAAACATAAGTAAATCTTAAAAAACCAGTTGGTGCAGAATTTCTGCACAGGCTAACATTATGTCAACTCACAAGTTTCCGATAAAGCCAGCCGGGCAGTGACACGCGCCATTCACGTGATCACAGGTGGCGCCATTGTGACATGCGCAGTGCATCTGACAGTTCCTGCCGTAAGTCCCCTGTGCACACTTAGTCTGACAATGCTCGCCGGTCCAGCCTGTTCAAAACGCAAAATAAGAAAAATATAAACTCTCTGAACACATTTGGTCAATTTTCAGCCAATCCTGGGGTCTGTTCAATATACCGACACTGTATCTGAATGGGGTATCCATGTTTAGACCGCCTCCGTGGTCTAGTGGTAGAGCGTTTGCCCGGAGAGCGGAATATCCGGGGTTCGATCCCCGGCCGCGTCACACCGAAGAACGTTTAATGATGGTCTTGTTGTTACACTGCCTGGCGCTCGGCATTAAAGGACTGGTCGGCTTGGAGTCAGCATGTTGTGTCTGAGTGGGGTTTTCAATTTAAAATGAAGCATTGTTTCGCAGTGCACTGGCATTATAAAATCAGAAATCGTCCGAACTAGTACAAGCAGCCACAGACATACACGTGCATGAACGTCGCTTTATAAGTGCAGTAATCTTGAACGTTAACCCCCATTTAACCTCGACTCACCAATGTTAAACAGCGCCATGTTATGTCAGTGGGTTAGCTCTATTAAAACCGGTCTCAGTTTGGACTAGAAAAATACCTTTCGCACTGGGTAGCCATCACTTCTGTTCTTTGAAAGTAAGGCCTGGTGTAGCCGCTAACAGGGTGTGTTTTTATTATTTTATATTTAACTGATGTTAAATCGATATATTTTTTAACTAGGCGGCAGAATTACCTGGTGCGCATGTGCAGATGCCTGATCTGGGGTCGCACGTGCCGTGGCCGCTACAGTTACACACCAAGTTGCAGTTCTCGCCCCAGCTGCCCACAGCACAATCTGAAATAAGTATTAATGAATGGACAATATCATAATGATAACATGCATATTTTACATACATGCACATTAATTAATGTTTACATTTGGTGGAATAAAGTATACTATTTGTCAGCCATCTCGGAGACATTTCTAACTGGTCAGTCAGTCGCCCCTAGTAGTTGTTTCTTGTGTAACGGTGCACTCAGCAATGTTCCAGCTATATGACGGCGGCTTTGATAATCGAGTCTGGACCAGACAATGCAGTGATTAATATTCTGAAACATGATAGTACGACAAACACAAGTTGCTCGGGAGCAACTCTAACCCACGCGTGCTCCTCAGTAGGAGTAAAGTAGTAGTTAGTTGACAGTAATGTAGCAGTAAAGTAACAGTAAAATAGCTGTAAAGTAGTAAAGTAACAATAACAGTAGTAATGTAAAGTAAAACAATAATTAATGTACAAGTAAAGTAAATTAGTAGTAAAGTAAGTTTAATGTAGCAGTAAAGTTATAGTAATGTAGTATTGACGAAAGTAATACAGCAGTAAAGTAATGGTAATGTAGCAGAAAGAGTAATGTAGCAGTAAAGTAATAGTAAAGTATCTGTAAAGTATAGAAATGTAGTAGTAAAGTAAAGTAGCAGAAAAGTAAAGTTATGTAGCTGTAAAGTAATGTAGTAAAGTGATAGTAATTTAGTAGTAAAATAATAGTAAAGTAATAGTAATGTAGCAGTAAAGTAATGTAGTAAAGTAATAATAATGTAGCAGTAAAGTAATAGTAAAGTAGCTTAAGGCAGTAATGCAGCAATATTAATAGTACTAGTAGTAGTAGTAAAAGTAGAAAAGTAGCAGTAAATAGTTGTAAAGTTAGAAGCATAGAAGCAGGAAAGTAGAAGTAGAGAAAAAATTAAGTAGCAATAATGCAGTAGTAAGAATCACTATGCTTGTCGTAAAGCAATACTATAGTAGTAGTTAAGAAGCAGTCAAGCAGTACTAAAGTTGTAGTAACGTTGTTTTGTTTCTTTGTTTGTTAACGCCGCACTCAGCAACGTTCCACCTATAGGACGGTCTGTCAGTAATGGAGTCTGGACCAGACTGTTTAGTGATTGACATCATGAGCATCGATCTACACTATGACTTGCATCAACCAAGTCATTGAGCCTGACCACTCGATCCCCTTGGTCGCCTCTTACAACAAGCATAGTAAAGAAGTAAAACAAAAGTAAAGTAGTAAACCAATGGTAAAAGTAGTAAAACAATTGTAAAGTACTAAAACAATAGTGAAGAAGTAAAACTATAGTAAAGTAGTGAAACTATAGTAAAGTAGTAAAACTAGTAAATTAGTAAACCAATAGTAAAGAAGTAAAATAATTGTAAAGTACTAAGACAATAGTAAAGTAGTAAAACTACAGTAAAGTAGTATACCAATAGCAAAAGTAGTAAAACAATTGTAAAAGTAGGAAAACAATAGTAAAAGTAGGAAAACAATAGTAAAAGAAAACTACAGTATAGTAGTAAAACAATAACAAAGTAGTAAAACTATGGTAAAGTAGTTAAACTATAGTAAAGTAATAAAACAGTAGTAAAAGTTGAAAAACAAATGTAAAGTAATAAAACAAAAGTAAAGTAGTAAAACTAAAGTAAAGTATAAAATATTAGTAAAGTGGCAGTAAAGTAGATGTTACACAGAAGTAATGAAGTTGTAAAATACTTAGTAGTAGTTATATAGTAGCAATTAGTAGCAGAGAGGTAGTGAGAAAAACAATAGTAAAGGGGTTGTAAGGTAGCAGTAAGGTAGTGGCAAGGTAGCGGTAAATAGCGGTAATGAAGCGGTAATGTAGCGGTATTGAAGCAGTAAATTAGAAGAATAAAGCAAGTGATGATAAAGGGTTATTGGACGAGGGGTATTCGCAGCTTGGTCAGGTAGCCCCCCTCGGTATAAACATTGAATGGAGACCTAGCGCCACCTACTGGAAGAACAACTTGTTCCTCTCCATCCGGCATCACAGTGACAGATGTTGATTGCGATGCAGCGCCCGTGATCGCAGCCTTGTTGGCAAACAGCTGAAAACGAAGATCAGCAATATCAGTGTTCTTAATTCAAAAGGCCACATGATAAACCCTAGCACCCATCCGCCCTCCTGTTCATTCAAATTTTACACCATTAAAAAGTTTATTTTGTTAATCAGTCGGTCAAAAGAAGCCCAAGAACTTTCAATGTCGAATTACTGTAAGACACCGTGGTACGTGCAAATGAAAAACAACACCGTTGTGTCGAAGTTGAAGTTACCTTCGTAAATAATCAAGTTATCCGAAGTTCGACACACCCGAAATATGATTAATAAAAAAGGAATACGCAGGGACCAAAGTTTTACTTCGAGACAACCGAAAGTTCGACACATCAAAGTTCGACACAACAGTGTTTGGCTTATGTGTGTACGAGATATCGATACGGTTGTTACGAAGGTGAATTACTTTTGTATAGAATCACCGGGAACTGAATGTCTGTTCAACCTTCTGGTCGGGTTTGAAGTTAAGCCGAATGAGAGGCGTGAAGATGGACAACAACTTTATGAAGAAACGAAACAAGGGAGACAAATCATAAAACTCACGAATGCAAGAGTTGTCTTTCTCTTTGTACCCATGGCAACATACAGGCACTTTGCTGATTTTCTGTACAGATACCTTCTTATACTTGATCGTTATCTCGGTGCTGAAAATAGAAACATGTACAAGGTTTATTTGCCGTCGCACGATTTCGGTGAGTGAGTGAGTGTGTGAGTGAGTATGGTTTTACGCCGCTTTTAGCAATATTCCAGCAATATCACGGCGGGGGGCCACCAGAAATTGTAAAATACTTAGTAGTAGTTATATAGCAGCAATTAGTAGCAGAGAGGTAGTGAGAAAAACAATAGTAAAGGGGTTGTAAGGTAGCAGTAAGGTAGTGGCAAGGTAGCGGTAAATAGCGGTAATGAAGCGGTAATGTAGCGGTATTGAAGCAGTAAATTAGAAGAATAAACCAAGTGAATGGGCTTCACACATTGTACCCATGTTGGGAATCGAACCCGTGTCTTCGGCGTGACGAGCGAACGAGGGAGAGAGAGAGAGGGAGAGAGAGAGAGAGACACACATACACACAGAAATATACAGAAAGAGACAGTGAGAAAGAGTGAGTGAGTTTGGTTTAACTCCGCTTTTACTGAACAGTATTCCAGTTATATCGCGGCGTGTCAGCTTAATGTGGGAGGAAAGCCCGAAGTGATGCAGGTCTCAGACGTTTACCACTTCGGTGAAACCCACGAGCATGGGTATGGTGCTGACAAACCTAGAAACATAATCGAGGCGAACCGGGATTCGAACCGACAATCATAGGTTTCTGGCGTGCCCAAGGGACGCAACTCTGCACAGCGAATCGCGGCGCCTTAGACGACTGGGCCACCCGTGCCCCCTTCTACATGTAGGAATGAATGACTACCTTTAAACTGGATCACTTACTGACACACTTCACATCTAGGGGGGAAGGCCAGACACCAGGTGTGGGTACAGATTCGGTGAGGAACATCGACTTTCTGGATCTCGTATACGTTTACACTGCAAACAAAGAGTGATTGAATGTTATTTTACGCACCAATCTGCAATATACTACCTGCATCACGGCGGACTAGAAATAACCTTGGACAATAATAAGTCTTCATTTGCTTGAATGAACAAACAATGATCCGCGCCGTCGGTTCCGATGATACACAGTTAATGAGTGAGTTTGTTTAACGCCGCTATATAACAGTATACACCAAGGGTAATTTTGTAACAGTATACATCAAGATAATTTTTGTAACAGTACACATCAAGGGTAACTTTATGACAGTAAACATGAAGGGTAATTTTTGTAACAGTACACATCAAGGGTAAATTTGTAACAGTGCACATCCAGGGTAACTTTATAACAGTACACATCCAGGGTAATTTTGTAACAGTGCACATCAAGGGTAATTTTGTAACAGTGCACATCCAGGGTAACTTTATAACAGTACACATCAAGGGTAATTTTGTAACGGTGCACATTAAAGGTAATTTTGTAACAGTGCACATCAAGGGTAATTTTGAAACAGTGCACATCAAGGGTAATTTTGTAACAGTACACATCAGCCTTTATAACAGTACACATCAAGGGTAATTTTGTAACAGTGCACATCCAGGGTAATTTTGTAACAGTGCACATCCAGGGTAACTTTATAACAGTACACATCCAGGGTAATTTTGTAACGGTGCACATTAAAGGTAATTTTGTAACAGTGCACATCAAGGGTAATTTTGAAACAGTGCACATCAAGGGTAATTTTGTAACAGTATATATCAAGGGTAATTTGATAACAGTACATATCAAGGGTAACTTTATAACAGTACACATCAAGCGTAACTTTATAACAGTACACATCAAGGGTCACCTCACCTGAGAGAGTGAGTGAGTGAGTTTTGATGGACGCCGCTTTGAACACTATTGTGGTATGCCAGCTTTATGTGGGAGGAAAGATCGGAGTGATGCAGGTCTTAGACATTTACCATTTTAGTGAAACCCATCACAAGTTACCAGCATCAAAGAACCACAATAAGAGCGGATTTGGGACTCGAACTCACAATTATCGGAAATCTAAGGGGCGTAACTTTGAGCAACGAATTGCAGCGCTTTAAATGATAAGCCATCTGAGCAACGTTAAATCAAACTCATTCATTCCTACGCTAACCCAGTTATGTAATCTGTAAATAACCCTGTTATAACTACAAACTGTGCGAGGAGTTTTCGATCATAAATCAAGTAAACTGAATCAGTAAATTGTGCTGCAATATTCCAGCAACATCGCAGCGGGAGACACCAGAAAGTGGCTGGTCAGGCACAAAGTACACATGTTGGGGACCCGTGCCTTATTGAAACGCCGTAAAATGCTCACTAAAATGACGGCGGTCTGTAAATAATCGAGTCTGGACCAGACATCCCAGTGACTGACATCATGAGCATCGATCCACACAACTGGGATCGATGACATGCATCAACCAAGTCAGCGAGCCTGACCACCCGATCCCGTTGGTCGCCACTTATTGCAAGCATAGTCGCCTTTTACGGCAAGCATGGGTCGCGGAAGACCTATTCCAACCCAGATCTTCACGTGTCATCAGGTTTATGAGTCAGATAAAACACACTTTACCTCGGGTTTAGTAAAAAATATCGGGGTCGGGACAGTCCCAGTCCCTCGTGTTTACATTTTCTACCAAACTTTCGGGAGCGTGAGTCACCCATTATCAACGTATAAAATGGCCTTTAGATGACAAGGCCGTCATGCTTCGGGGCGTGTTATACCAATGAAACATGCTATTAACTTCGAGTCTCACCTTTCAGGCCTCTCGCACACATTCGTTTCCCCGAGCCTGAGAACCGCTGAAGCCCCGGTTACACAAAGCAGACAAATCGCAAGCAACTGCATCTCATCAGCTTTCTGTAAGCAAAATACTCATAATGAAAACACAATTTTTATATGCTGCAGTTAAACCGCTTAACCCTAATTACATTATAAACTACGGTTATAACTAACTCAAAGGGACCACTAATTCTAGTTCGTTATAACCGTAGTTCGTTATAAGCATATGTGTAGCATATACACAGCAATTGGCAAGGACCCAAAATGCCAGTTCGTTATATCCGTCTGTTCGTAATAAGCGTGTTCGTTATAATCGTAGTTTACTGTATGTTATATATCCCCAACAACAAGTTGACATGTCGTGATGTAACTGAAGTACTGTTCTAAGCGGCGTTAAACCGAACTCACTCACTCACTCACTCATTATGTTACATATATGTGATCCGTGAAGATCCGAGTTAGAACAGGTCTTCAGCAACCCATGCTTGTCGTAGGAGGCGGCTAACGGGATCAAGTGGTCAGGCTCGCTGACTTGGTTGGTGCATGTCATCCAATCCCAAATGTGAATCGCTGCGCTTATATCAATCACTGGATTGTCTGATCCAGACTCGCTTATTTACAGACCACCGTCATGTGGCTGGAGTGTTGCGGAGTGTCAAACCAAATGTCTTGTGGTGATTTATATTATACGAGTGAGTGAGTGTGGTTTTACGCCGCTTTTATTCCAGCAACATCACGACGGGGGACACCAGAAATGGGCTTTACACATTGTAGCCATGTCGGGAATTGATCCACAGTATGATTTAAAAAATTGACCCAAGGATTCAGAATTTGAAAAATATGCAGGCACACATGTTTGTCTGATTATTATCTTGCTCGTGATGAAACAACATTTATTGAGTTTGAAGGTGGGGCGAGGTGAGATTTTGTGAGGTGTGAGGTGTGTGTATGTGTGTGTGTGTGTGTGTGTGTGTGTGTGGCTGCCTTTACTAGTCCGGACTGATGCCGATTTATAGTGCAAGCTCACTGAGATACCATGCCGCAGTTTAACACGAATACCCCACTCAGACACAGTGTACTGACTCCGAGCCGACCAGTCCTTGTTTTAGCCCCTTAATGCCGAGCGCCAGACAGGGTAACAACAAGTACCATCTTTTAACATCTTTTGGTATGACGCGGCCGGGGATCAAACCCCGGACCTTCCGCTCTTCGGGCGGACGCTCTGCCACGGAGGCGGTGGATTGAAACTACTCGTCCCGCTGACACAATTTAATTCAAAAGGGCGTCCCTAAATATTTGCCAAGCGGCACACTTGTAAATAAAATTAATTCAGAAATTGAATTTGAAATGTTCTGATACACAACCACTTCTGATGAAATGAAATTCACAGAGTCTGAAAACGAACAAAATGTATTTCATAAACACCTAAATTTAACACACGATAAGATCTTTGTGGATGGCCTGTGGCACATCAGAATTTAAATATGACGTTTTCTAAATTACAACATCTTATCGTGAAATAAAATTCTCCGAATTTGAAAATTAATCTTAAGTTTTTGAAAGGGAACACAATAACATATCGTGTGTTCTTTGGCACACTTGATATAACATATAAAACTCAAAAGCAGTTAAAAAAACCCATCCGATTCTGTCATAGTATTACCATAGTTTGACATTACCTACAGTAAAATTCACGAATCGGGTGTTCTTAACCGCATTTCAAGTAGTATAAGTACATGTACATCCCTTGGTTACTTTCCAACCTGTCAGTGGCTATACATGAACGCGATCGACCAATGAAGATCCGTGGTAGAATAGGTCTTCAGCAACCCATGCTTGCTGTAAAAGGTGACCATGTTTGTCGTATACGTAAGAGGCGACTAACGGGATCGAGTGGTCAGGTTCGTTGACTTGGTTGATGCATGTCATCGTATCCCAATTGTGTAGTTCAATGCTCATGATGTCAATCACTGGATTGTCTGGTCCAGACTCGATTATATACAGACCGCCGTCATATAGCTGGAACACTGCTGAGTGCGGCGTTGAGCAACAAACAAACAAACAAACAAACATAAACAAGGTAAACATAATATCACAAAAAAAACATTCCAAATCCGATTAAGGATGTTCCTCTTTGAAAGCTAAACGTGATGACACAACAGAAATAATATTGCAAGGTCACGCCTACAAGCTCGTTACAGCTGCATGTATATCCATTGACGGTAGCTTGTATTACATAGCCGTATGCATTCAACCCAGTTCTAAAGCATACATCAATTGCTGAATATAATACCTCATTCAAATTGCACAGTCACACTTCATGTGAACCATTATTCTCAACACTCAATAGGATCTCTGGGAGACCGACTATTCCATTTTGTAGGGGTAGGGGTGTTGCAACTGTTGTATGCAGCAGTTTGACAAACCATAATGCTAGATGACCTACAGACTTGCATCGGCTGTTCCTTTGGGATAAATACATTGTATGCCTTGGAACAGTGACGGAAAATGGTTCTAACAAAGTCTTCTGCCAACCCACGCCCAACGAATTTAATGGACTGTCTCACCACGGTCTCACCCGCCGTCTACATTCTTGTTCCAGCTCAGCGCAGCCACAAAGCACAACACAACAATGAGAAAATGTTTGCGTTTCATAACGTACACAAAATATCGGCTTCTATACCTTACAATCAACATATATTCCATACATTACACGGGCGTGTGTCTGTATTTTTTGTCAAGGTTATAATTACTAAATTCATGTTCCCACCTTATGCAACAACGAACAATCTACCAGGGGTTGGTTATATCATGCCTGGGGGCACGGGTTGCCCTGTCGAGTAAGGCGCCGCGATTCGCTGTGCAGAGTTGCGTCCCTTGGGCACACCAGAAACCTATGATTGTGGGTTCGAATCCTGATTCGCACCGATTATGTTTCTAGGTTTGTCAGCACCATACCCATGCTCGTGGGTTTCACCGAAGTGGTAAACGTCTGAGACCTGCATCACTTAGGGCTTTCCTCCCACATTAAGCTGACACGTCGCGATATAACTGGAATACTGTTAAAAGCGGCGTTAAACCCAACTCACTCACTCACTCACTATATCATGCCTAACACCATAAGCGACTGCAGCCCTTGCACCCAAAAGTGTTTGTTTGTTGTTAAACGCCGCACTCAGCAAAATTCCAGCTATACGATGGCAGTCTGTAAGTAATCGAGTCTGGACCAGACAATCCAGTAATTGACACCATGAGCATCGATCCACGTAATTGGGATACGATGACATGCATCAACCAAGTCAGCGAGCCTAACCATCCGATCCCGCTAGTCGCCTCTTACAACAAGCATGGGTTGCTGAAGACCAATGCTAACCCGGATCTTCACGGGTCCGCTGATAGTGGGGATGGAGAGAGCTGGTATGTTCGAATTTCCAAGGTGTCTTGTGATTGCCGTAACACCCACCACCAAATTGGGTGAAATGTTTACGGTTTATGGTAACATGTTTCAAATAAGACGCCACGCTGCGCAGCGAATTCCGGCGCCTGAGACGATAAGGCCACCGTGCCCCCAAATAATGATGAATGGCATTGCTTCCGTTTCCTAACGTGATGTAACTTGATCATTGTTGACTGTGGCGTACACTCACTTCAAAACCCTATCATCACTACATCTACACACATAATTTAACATTACCCATGCCAGCTGCGGACCCTTGAAGATCCGGGTTAGATTTGGTCTTCAGCAGCCCATGATTGTCATAAGAGGCGACTAACGGGTTCGGGTGGTCAGGCTCACTGACTTGGTTGATGCATGTCATCGTATCCCAACTGCGTAGATCGATGCTCATGGTGTCAACCACTGGATTGTCTGGTCCAGACTCGATTATTTACAGACCGCAGTCGTATAGCTGGAATATTTCTGAGTGCGGCGTTAACCAACAACTATTTCCCCTTACAAAAGTTAGACACCAGACAAAACTCGTACATCACAGGCTTAAACAAGCTACACCCAGAAGATTGAATCGCTTGACAAGACCAATTGTCAAATTAACAAACGAGAACTTGCGTAAGAACATCCGTGAAAGAAGCAGTAGCCTTGCCTTTCTTCTAGGTAAGGGCGGGTCCTGTCGAACGAGATTGTGTCTTGTAATGACATAATTGGACCGAGTAACATAAATAGAATGACTGTCGGAGCTTGAAAACTCTACGTTCGTGGCTCTGCATTTGGTTATTGTTATGCATCATGTAATATCACTCTGGTCCGTGAGGGGAGGTCGGGTAGCCTAGTGGTTAAAGCGTTTGCTTGTCACGCCGAAACTCAGGTTCGATTCCGACATGGGTACAATGTGTGAAGCCCATGTCTGGTGTCCCCACGCTGCTATTGCTGGAATATTGCTGAAAGCGGCGTAAAACCATACTCCCTCACTCTGGTCTGTGAACGAAGTTCGTGAACCTGACCACCCGATCCCGTCAGTCGCCTCTTACGACAAGCATGGGCAGCTGAAGACCTATTCTACCCCGCAGGGGCCGTAAGAGGAAGTAACATATTGTGTCCCTTGAAATATCTACAATCTCGCGCCTTGGCAGTATAAGAGAAACGAAGTTTGTGTCAGGAATATACTGTATTCCCTTGACAAATGTACAATGAGGTCCGAATTAACCTGCAGTCTCATGGACTGTGACAGGCAACGGCCGTGAACAGGACAGAGATGTGGGGTGGTTGGTTGGTTGGTTGGTTGGTTGTTTAACGCCGCACACAGCAATATTCCAGTTATATGACGGCGGTCTGTAAATAATCGAGTCTGGACCAGACAATCCAGTGATTAATATTATGAGCATCGATCCACGCAATTGGGATCGATGACATGCATCAACCAAGTCACCCGATCCCGTTAGTCACCTTTTACGACAAGTATAGTCGCCTTTTACGGCAAGCATGGGTTGCTAAAGACCTATTCTACACCGGTATCTTCACGGGTCAGATGTGGGGTGGAAAAGCTAAGATTTTTGGGGCTTTATTAAGGCTTTCTGGGATCTCCATGGGCCTATCTATAAATCTGATGTTAACTGTCATCCCA